ACATATTATTAAAATACTCTCATTCAAATGAAGGGATGGTATTTGCTAACGATATTTAGTATATAATGCTTAAAGAAAAGATAGTGGCATTGTAAGCTCCAGGTTTTGAAAGAAAGGTTTTCAAGTGACATTGCAAAAGAACAAAGAAAATCCCAGGGAGAAAATGAACTGATATGGTGTAAACAAGCCAAGTTCATTATTTGATATATGAGCACATTCAGAGGATACTCTAAGATATAGATGTAAATATTAACTTAGTCATTAGAGGAAACATCTGTACATATTATTAAATGCTCAGCAGCAGCAGTCCTAAACAGGATGCAAATAAACCCAGTTCCCAAACCTGTCCAACTTTATAACCCACAATGTTGATTTAGTGGGAGGTGTCCCTGCCCGTGGTAAGTGTGGGGGGGAACTAGATGATCTTAAGGTCCTTTCCAACCCTAACTATTCTATAATTCTATGGTTATCCTAATGCAGATACAAGTCACTGTATATATGCAGAGTGCTTCATGATGAAAAAACATGACAGGGTCAAAGATATCACAAAGATACCAGATTACAGAAAAGTCGTGTTTCTACTGTACTACAGTCAAACAATCTACTGAAAAGCAAATAATAATTAAAACAAAAAATAAATCTGAGCACACTATTTTCCTGGAGAGAGATGACTCACAAATTTTGCAGAAGACTGAGTGAAAGGTAGATAAAATCTGCCCTTTGAACAACCACGACAGTTGCTGAAATAGAGCTGTAGAATGATTAGCATGTATTTATTTCACATTTATATTAGCAGCATGAATTTACTGTCAACTGTGTAGATCATTAAATAATTAAACTGATTGACATTATTCTCTGCAGCATCTTTAATATTGTTTTACTCATATTCTTTTAGATACTCAATTCTTCTTTAGGTATACAAGACTTCCACCTTTTCCAGTTACCCAAGAAAACCAGACAAAAGGTGAATCCAGGTAGGGATCTGTTAGATTTTGTTTTGGGATTACAGTCTCTCTGAGGAAGATACCACCTTTCTGGCATGATCCCATGATAACAGCAGCTAGTTTATGCTCTTTCAACAAAGTTCTAAAAATGACAGAGAAAATAAGATGGCATCAGAAGTGGCAGTGATCAAGAGGTGTTGTAATTCCATTCCTAGTAGTAATTTTTCCTCAAGAGGAAGCACAGAGAAAACAGAATGCAATGGAGACGAGTCATTAGTGTGGACTCATCAAATGAGGACTTAATAGCTTCTGTGCCATTAACCTCTCTCTGTGATGGCAGGTCTTTGCCAAAGCACAGCTGGAAACCATGGCAAAGGCAGGCTGGGCAATGACACTACGTGGTGGGAGGGCAGGTCTGGTGTTGCTGGTGGACACAGCAGACAGCATCCTCTCCTTTGTGCCAGGAGCATCGCTGATGCTTTCCAGTTTCTGAATACACGGGGGCTGCCTCAAGTGAACAGTGATGCTGGTCAAGGACCTTCAGTTTCTGGACTGTCCCCTCAGTACAGGATCGTGTGTGATGACGGCCATCATTCCTTCCTAAAAATAGCTGCTTTTCATGGCTGGAGAAGAGCAAAACCCTAATCCTGTTGAAATCGACAGCAATGTTCACAGTGATCCCAGAAAAGTCAGGTTTTGAGCTCTGCCGTCAGGAACCTCAGCAGTCTTACCCAGCTTATCAGCCCAGAAAAAACAATCCACAGCTTTCAAAACACCCACACCCTGAACAAACCTAAGTTACCCTTCCCCAAAAACTGGGAGTATTTGAGTTTTTTATAAAAGCTATTAACATGTATTTGCATGTATGTAGATGCAAAGAAAAATACATATGCACCTAAAATAAATACAATTTTTCTTTTATAGAAACAAGACACAAACACTGACTAGCACAGTTCTATGACTGCTGTAAACACACGAGTGCCATTCGAAGACGTTTACCAGTAGGTGGTGGCATGTAGTTAGTTATTAGCAGTTTTTTGGCTGAAAAAGATTCTGAGCTACAAGCAGCTATTTCTTGTTTAAACTTTCATATTGCTCCACCTTTCTGAGGTATCTTTTACCTGTTTCATAGCTTCAGATATGATTCATAGCTGGAATTATGCCTCCTGGCTGTGGCACATCAGGCTGTTCCTGCTTCGTTAACTGAAGGGCTGCCTCCACACTGCCAAGCTGGAGGGTTTTTTTGTGTGGTTTTTGTCTGTTGATGAAATATATTGATATTAACACAGTTCCTGTAACACATGCAAAAGAAAAAGGTCAATAATTTATTTACAGGGTGTACCCCTTATTTACTTCCAGTGAATAAATGTTTTTTATAGTTGGCTGTGTATAAATTTGTGATTTACTGTCAAATATAATCAGCAGCCTCTCCTAACTCCATCACACCCTTCTGTGCCTCAGTGCTTCCAAATTATGAAGACTGGAAAAAAACTATTCACCTCAGCTTGGCCTATCTATTATTGTCTGTTTAAATACCACTTATGGGTCATGACTGAAGAAAGCCATATAGCTACAACACAGGAGATGGAAGCTGGGGTTTGGATGGTTAGTGAGTTGCTTCTGCACAAAGCAAGCCAGAAGGCTTCTACGAGGCTTCAGGAATCACATGGATGCAAACTGGGCCTGTTTGCTTTATGGGAGCAGTTTTGGCTCCTCAGAGACCATAACCAAACATACTTCATGGGCTGGAGCAGAGGTGACAGATAAGAGTGCTCCTGGAAGCCTCTGCCCATAGCTAGGTGAAAATGTCTTCGGGAAAGTGGTGCAATGTAACCAAGTGTCAGTCTTGACACAAGTCATGGCCCTGAAGACACAAACAGAGCCGTATCTCTGCTGACCTTGCAGCTGGTGTGAGCAGCCAGGCTGAATTGAAAGCAGGTACTAAACACATCATACTGGGTAAAATACCAGCACACTACCTTGTGTGCACCCACATCCTCTTGAGTTGATCTTTTTTGGACTGATTCTAGTTCAGTATGCACTAAGGCTTAACCAAAAGGTCAAATAACAGTTGTTTAAAGGTTTTGTGTTTTCTAACTACTGTCCAGTGCATTGCCGAGTTTCTCTACTATTCTTGAGGGATGACCACCCATATTCAAACCTTCAGTGACAAATGCTTATGCATTCAAAGATACGTGCTTCTTTATTTCTCCTGGTGTCTTTGGCCTGAGGTGAGTCTTGATCCCAAGTCATGTCAGTTCTTTGCACTAATATTATTCTTACCTTTTATGCCAGGATTGTGCTTCACAAAGCCAGGGTAAAATGAGTCATTATATGGTTTCTGACTGCATCCATAACTCTTGTGAGTTGCCCTGTTGGGATGGGGCAAGAGAGTCAACCTCATACACAACACATAACATGCTGCAGAAAATGTAATACCTGTCAATAAGTGCAACAACATGGTGCTTTCAAGCCCTGCTGTACAGATTGGTGGCAACTGCCTGAGCTTTGACAGTGTGAAATGGACCCAGTATCCAGGCAGATGTCATGTCTTTGTCTGAAACTGAAGAACAGTGAAATACCATATCCAGAACATCAGGGCACTCTACTGGTGCTGCTAAAAATCAGGAAAGTCTAATGCCCACTTGTATAAATGAAAGGGGATTCACACTTTTCACCTGCTGAATTTGTGTCAATATCTGTGGCAAACAACACCCCTGCGTACATTTATCACAAAGACATAGGTTGCAGCCTACTATGGTACTGGCCGGCTCTGGGGTTGTAGATTGGCCTATTTAAGAAACCAGATGGGAGATGATCTAGAACTAGGAAACACCTTTAAACTATGAAAAAGCAACTCTGCTGACAATAGTAATTTGTTAAGGGTACTGCCACTTAAGGGACATAAGGCTGAGACTTACACATGCAATCAGAATTAGACACAAATGTGATAAAAGTAACATACTTGTTTAGGATGAGAAGGTGATAGCATGTAGTCAAAGATAACACCCAGAACTGAAATTTCCCATAATGGAAACAAGCAGGAAATTGTTTTTATAAAGCAACTCTGTTATAACAAGCTAAATTCAGCTGATGAAAAACAGTTTTCCTGACTCATCTCCATTGCATTCCGTTTTTTATGTGCTTCCCCTTGTGAGGAAAAATTACTACTAGGAATAGAATTACAGCACCTCTTGATCACTGCCACTTCTGATGCCATCTTATTTTCTCTGTCATTTTAGAACTTTGTTGAAAGAGCATAAACAAAAGAAACACCTGTGCTTAAGTGAAAATGGGGTGAGAGAATGGATTTTGAGAGGGCACATAAAAGCAGTTGCCATTCAGATCAAGTGAGGGCAAACCTCAGTGCTGTACAAAGAGTTCATTTTTTCAGTATAGGAACTTAAAAATTGCCTCAAATGTAATGGCATGTGAACAGAGTTACCCTGTGCCTCTCTGTCTTCCTTGGTTTGAAGCCAGGACAATATTCCCATCTGCCAGATTTGCAGCTCGGAACCTTCAGTGTAGTGTTCAATTTTGACAGCAAACAGGACCAAGTCATTACTGTTTTATCACACAGCTGTAGGGATACCAGCAAGTACTTATACAAAAGTAAGCCTACAAAAGTGAGCCTGAAAAAGTGACTAAACCCCTTGGAAACATATTAGGCCTTGAATGACTAATGAGGGATCATTATCTGCTGCCTGTGCTAAAGGCAAGGCAGAGTTTGAACTCTCACTAGTCAGAAACAGAGAGGGAAAAAGATTTAATGGGAAAATAAAAGGTGATTCAAGGACGATGAAAAAAAAAACCAACCCAACCAAACAAACCCACAAACAAAACCAAACCAAGCAAGCAAAACAAAGTAAAAGAAATAGGACTGTCTCATCCTGCTTTCTTCTCTCTCACCCTGCATTATATAAAGCCCATTTTGCCCATCTCTGAAGCCATTCCTTTGGCCACAGCTGAACCCCTGCCACTCCCTCTTGCTGTGGCATTCCAGAACCAGGGTAGTCAGTCCACTAAAAGGAGGGGATGAGGGGAGCAGGCTGGCAGCTGAAGGATAACCTGAACCCAGCCTTTTAGCCCAATCTGACTCCTCTGGACACCTGTCAGTAACCATTTCGTATATTGCTAAACTTGAACTATAAACTGCAATTGGTAAATCTGCAGAGCAAATCAAAACACACCTGACAGACCTTCAAATTATCAACTATTACAGCTGTTTGATTACTTTGGAACTGCTACTGATATGTGACATTAGCTCAAGGCCATGTCTGCAACTGTCTCCATCAAACCAGTGGAGCTCTCCGCAGAAAAATGTCAGAACAGAGACGAAACAGGCTCTCTCCAGAAATGGTTAATCAATAGCTTGCTAGGTTGATTGAATGCCATTCGATACAGCAGTGCACCTACAGTATATAAATCATGGCCTGTCTTCTGTATCATTCTCAGTCACCACTCCTGCCATACCGGTAGTTACCAATTTTCCACTTGGAAGTTTTTGGGCATTAACAGAAATGTTCATAGCATCATGGGTCTGGGGAACAGTGCTAATACTCTGCTGTGGGTTTTTGTTTCTTCTAGGGAGGAGGAGGAGGTAAGAAATATCTTTGTAAATGCATCTCAGAGTACCTGGCCTTTGTTTCTGTCAGATATACTTTGTACATTTGTTTGGTCTTCTGAGAGATTTATGTTATAATAGGATTTTTGTGTATGGTCTTTTTAATAATAGTGAGTTAATGCCTAGACATAGCTGTAAATACAAATCTATGCATAAATGAGGTAATTAAAATATGAATGTGCATGTCCCAATTTCCTAAAGCACTGGGCTGTACTTTTGCATGCACTGTAATCATAGATAATATCCACTTATATATACTTATAGTGTAATACCTACTTACCAACATTTTCATATCATCAGCCTATCATACCTAGTAACACAGTTTAATAAAGGTAATATTTATGTACCTTACTATGTCGAATATATATTCCTTAAAAGCATTGATCCTGCTGGCACATTTGCATAAGGAGCAAGTAATTTGCTTAACTGTTGTGTTTTCATACTTTTCAGCAGTTATTTTCTTGTTTTACTTTAAAAAGTTTAATAAAAAAAAGATGAAAATAGTTGAATGCAGATAATAAACAGTAAATTCAGATAATAAATATAAGAACTTTACTGGTAAAGCTAAAGTAGTATCTGAAAGTTATTTTAGCAGCTATGGCATCCTAATGCAGGAAAGTAGTTTTCTAACTCTATAAAATATATCATTGGAGCATATGCTTCACTCTAAACATATGTTTCACTTAATGACACTTTGCCAGAAGGACTTCCTCTTATGCTTACTGAAGATCATGGCAAAATCCCCACTGTTTTCAGCAAGATCTGATCCAAATGGTATATGCCAGTAACAATCTTTCTATACGACAAGGCTGTTCCCTTTGGTATTCAAATTGAATTGTGGATGCCATTGCCCAAAAATATATGAGACAATATTAGTGGGGTGCATTATTCATTTATGGAACAATTTCATAACTGTGCATGTTAGCTAATGGCAACAATTCTGCATTTAAACATGTGAAAAATATATTCCTGATCTAGGGAAAAGAAGATGACATAATCAAGCTGTGGTTTATTATGTTTATTATAATAAAGGCTGTTAAGGTTATTCTACCATAAAGTTATTCTACCATAGACCTAACAAAAGGCTTAGTCCTTGAAGGGGAGAAAAATTATTTGTCAGTATACTATTTGTTTGGGGAAAAGTGGGGTGTAGCATGTTTTCCACATCAAAAATTACCTCAGTATTTTGCTTACCTGGTAGCCCTTTAGAAGAGCTCTTTATACATACTTATAGATTCAGCTTTGTTTGTGTTTTGTAGGCGACAAGGTGAACCACCACTTGAAAATGGGTTCCTTCCATACCTGGGCTGTGCCTTGCAGTTTGGTGCCAATCCCCTTGAATTCCTCAGAGAAAAGCAGAAGAAGCATGGCCACATTTTCACTTGCCAAGTAGCAGGGAAATACATCCATTTCCTCACCGACCCATTTTCATACCATGCATTGATCCGCCAGGGAAAACACTTGGACTGGAAAAAGTTCCATTTTGCTACTTCTGCCAAGGTACCCCTTTAAAAATGCTTTTTATATCTAAAATGCAAAGTATCTGTTGGTAGGACAGACATACCCAGTCAATCCTGATAGCATAACTGTGCCTTTAAAATAGAATCGTTTTCACATTATTGCACTTCTATTGTTTTAAAACATCCGGGTCTTTTTTTCCCTTTCCTTAATGGAAATGAAATATGCAGTGATTTAGATTGTCCAAGAATGACATTGTTTAAACGTGAAGTATCCCAAATTGCTAAAGCAGAAATACAATTAACACCATCTTCAAAATGATAATGTAGCTTCCTGAAGCTGATACTTTCCTCAGGGGGTTCTCACTACTATGGAAGAGTCAGACCTAAGGCCTTAAAAAATGATGCAACACAATAGCAGCTCAGTCAAACTCTTCCTGAAGTAAGCAGAAAGGCTCCTGTTGATGTCACTGGGATCTGTTTGTAAGCATCTATGGAAATATATTTTCATTTGCCTACTTCACTGCTTTCACTGAGAGAGTATCAGCTCTAGTATTAATAGCCCTTATTATACTTCCCTCTAGTAAGCTATAATATGTTGTCTTTCATTTCTGATAGACTTTATCATCAAGGTTATGATAGGCCTTATTTATCATGTATATTTCTTTTGCGACAGGCTTTTGGGCATGGTAGCATTGACCCAGCAGAAGGAAACACCACTGAAAATTTTCACCAGACTTTCATTAGAACCCTTCAAGGTAATGCCTTAGATGCCCTCATTGAAGCAATGATGGAAAACCTACAATACGCAATGCTGCAGTCAAGAACATCTAAGCTTCAGTCTAATACCTGGGTGACAGAAGGACTTTATGCATTCTGTTGCCAGGTAATGTTTGAGTCTGGCTTTTTAACACTTTTTGGTAAAGAATTTAATTTAAATAATGACAAAAATCTATCATCAAAGCAAGAAAATGAGAGAGCTCATATCCTAAATGCCCTCGAAAACTTCAAGGAATTTGATAGGATCTTTCCAGCCCTTGTGGCAGGGCTGCCTATCCACCTCTTCAAGAGTGCCCATAGCGCACGTGAGAAGCTGGGAGAGGCACTCCTCCATGAGAACCTCCTGAAGAGGAATAACCTCTCTGAGCTTGTCACCCTCCGCATGTTCCTGAATGACACTCTGTCAACTTTCGATGACATGGAAAAAGCGAAGACCCATGTGGCAGTGCTCTGGGCCTCTCAAGCGAACACCATTCCTGCCACGTTTTGGAGCTTGTTCTATCTCCTTAAGTAAGTCTTCTGTAGAAGTGTTTAAAAAAACCCAACAAACACTCCAGGGCAATGCTACACTTTGCCAAGAAAGCTTTGGAGTAAATCTGTATGATATGATATTAAAAGTGCTGGTTGCAGTCAGAACATTAATTGTATGGAAGGCTCCCAGTATAACTGGACAATTTTAGACCATCTCATTAGAGCTGGCAAAATGAGCTGTAACTTTATTATTGTTTTCACAGATACTTAGTAGAAAATAGTTTTTACATTGATAGATCCTGTTGATGCTGCAGTGTAGACTTGTTGAGCTTCTTACTCATGAAAGGATGCACAGTTCAGATAATACTATTAAATGTCCGTCTTAGAGTGGGTCTCTGTGCAGTATAATCCACCTCAGCATAACTAACTCTTAAGTACGTATCTAAATTGCTAACGTTGTTATTTAGCCAGTGGCTTGCACCCTTGTAGCGACCTGCCTGTGCTAATATCTGAGGTTCTCTAGTATTTTGCACTCCAAGAATCCATTGGATTTAGGTCTATCTGGCCTTGGAGTCTTTTAAAAGCCTGTTTTATTGTGCATTCATCAGGATTGTTAGTTCACCATAGCTCATATATTCTGTGTCTGTAAGAAACTCTGGACAGTGAAAGATACTGTGTGGACTTTTCTTATTAGGAAGTTTCCTTTCAGCTAGACAGAATACTGCCATCATGTCCTGGACATCATTCAGGATAAGTGATGTTATGAAACTGATCTATTATCCTGTTCCTAAACTTTCTACCCACAATGGGGCTATTTCCTAATCTACAACTGATTGCTTTTTTTCTTATGCTTGGTGTTGCTTTTTAGTAATATTACTGTTTATTACCTGTTGCGCACCTCAGTTCTGTCCCACTTACCATTGGCGACAGAATCAAATACTTGAGGTTCTTTTCCTTTTTCTGAAGCTATCATACCTTTGCCGAGACATGAAAAAGTGTAATTGCAGCATTTTGCTGCAATATTTTAATTTTAAAAGGTACTAAAGTTTAGTCAGGAAAAAAGTTAATGGCAACAGCCCCTTTTTAAAGCATCCTTAAGTGTAAAATTATGCTATAGTTCTGCTGGTTTTGTCTTAGGAACCCAGAGGCAATGACAGCTGCTACCAAGGAAGTGCAAAGTGTTTTGGAAAGTGACGGAGAGATCAGCTCCAATGGCAAACACATTTCCTTAAACCGAAAACAACTGGATAATATGCCAGTACTAGGTATGATTATTTTATGCAGGAGTATCAGAAATGGCACCACAATTGTCAGAGTCTTCTATTTATTACCATAGAAATGCTTGCTATGGAATTACTATGGAATTAGCTAACAAACACTAGGGAAAAATCCCTGTATGTACAAAATCAGTCTTCCCAATGTCCCAGGTGGTACCGACAGTATCAAAATTCACGTGAATAGCACTTTTTCTTGGTAATGGCATGTCTAAATACTGCTGTACTGCTGCATAATACAGTATTGGAGACCCCATGATAATTCAAAAACATGGGGTTTTTATAATGACTATAGATCAAATAAAAGTGTGTTACCAAATTTTATATCCCTGTTCTTATGATGTGAAGCAGAATATTCCAATAACTTTTATTTCTTCTTATTTCAAATTATAGGCATATTTTTCAAAAGTGTCCAAGTTACAGAGAGTTTTGAAAATGACACCTTTTAACTACTGTTGCTTTAAAAAAAAAAAAATTTTTATTATATTAAAAATGAAGCAAACCCCCCACAAGTTACTTTTTCTGAGCACTGGTTTCCATGCATCACCTTTTAAAGTTTCAGAAAATCCTGATCACTGCAATATTGTTTTTCTCATTCCGTTTCCAGTATTGAGTGGTTTGTTCTCTATCTCAAGTGAAAATGTGTCTCACTTTCAAGTATTCTGTTACATCAACTATAAGTCCTCGGTGTTATCTGCAGAAGCAATAATAATGCTAAAAAGAAATGAGAAAGATACCTTCTTAAGCATTAGAAAGTTATGGTTAAAATATTTCTTCTATTAAATGCAGGGTTTGATCATGACTCTGAAATATTTCAAAATGCAGGACCTCCCCCAGGGACATACTATGTCCATAGTAATCATTCCTTTTCTGCTCCTCACAGACAGCATCATCAAAGAGGCAATGAGGCTATCGAGTGCCTCCATGACGTTCCGAGTTGCCAAGGAGGATTTCACTTTGCACTTAGAGAATGATTTTTACAACATTCGCAGGGATGATATTGTAGCTCTTTATCCTCAACTGTTGCATTTTGATCCAGAAATATATGCTGATCCCTTGGTAAGTATTTATCAAAGTGCTTTAAGCTCTGAACTCTAGCAGAAGCTAATATTCCTCTTAAATAGAGCATTTGTCAGGGGTGCCCCATGGCTGTTTTGCTGTTGAACTCCAGTTGTTCTTATGCCTGGATATGTAATGATAAACAAGAAAGAGAATAAAGTTGGTGCAAGCACTATATGCAAAATATATTTTCGTGTAACCAGAATGCATGCTGCCAGCCCTGGATAGCCCTGTACTGACTGCCTTCCTTGGTGAGGAAAAATCACCATTGTGGGGGTTTGAGGGAGGACAAGGATAAGGATAAGATTTTCCCAGAGTCACAGAATGAGAAATCTTTCAGTTCTGCTGCATGAACAAGAATGGAGGTTACAACTTTAAGACGGTCATAAAAGAAAAGGAGAGTTTCCAGCAAAGAACCTGGGATCATGTCCCACATACCAGAACTTCTCAGGGACTATCTTCTCCAAAACACCACCATGGGGCTGGGTGCTACTATAATATGCTTACTGCTAGAGGCATTTCTTTCCCAGCCTGCATTTTATGTCCTAATGGAATTATCTCTCTTTGAAGGTATTCAAATATCAATTAACTCTTTTGCGGGTTTAATTACAGACATTCAAATACGATCGCTTTCTGAATGAGAATGGAAAAGAAAAGACTGACTTCTACCACAGTGGTCGCAAACTGAAGTATTACTATATGCCATTTGGGACTGGCACAGCAAAATGCCCTGGCAGGATATTTGCTGTCCATGAAATTAAACAGTTTCTGGCTTTGATTTTTTCATATCTTGAGATAGAACTTGCGGACAATGATGTGCAATGCCCTTCTTTAGATCAATCCCGTGCAGGGCTGGGTATTTTGCAACCACTCAATGATGTTAACTTCAGGTATAGACTGAAATGCCTATGAATATATATATTATACGTGTAAACTATGTACTATATAAATGCACTATATAACATATACTACATGTATATTTTATGTATATATGCAAATAAAACATTGCAAGTCTTGGGGGAAAATCTGTATGAAGGTAATTCGTCTAATGGAAAATGCATAATATATACCATTATGGTACCAGCATGCAAGGGGTTTAATGCACTGTGTTGATGCATATGTCTCCCCTTTTACCGACCATTTTGAAATGCAAGTTAAGATTTGAATTGTGTGCGTGTGCAGTAGTTCCTTTTCTTTTTTTCTGTCAGCAAATACTTTCCCAGAGGTGGTGAGAATTTCATCAGGTAATTCAAAATAATTACCAAAATTCAACTACAGTTAAAACTTACTCTTTCTTATAAGTGACATGTTGGAGGTAGTGGTTCTCCCTGCAGGTGAAATAAAGTTTTTTGTTGTATACAAAGGCAGATTCATAGTGGGGAGGGGAGAGTTTCCTGGGGAAGTGCCTTTATGGTTTTATGAAAACCTAGAAAAAGACTTGAAGAAAACATACAAAATTATTCACGTTCTAGTGGAACTGCAAACTTGTATTATATTCATTGTAATATACTTCTTTTCAGAAAGTTGAAACTGTATTAAAATAAAAGATACTGGCTGAACCAAATGCATCTCTAGACTGTTTGTCATTTTAATGTTGTAACATTGTCAAAGATTTATGTACTCATCCAAAGCCCCCTAACTCAGCTTTAGACTAGCCAGCTCAAATGCCAATATGGGGATAAAAAGTCACCACGGGTTTTGCACTATTATCTGACCTCCGTATTTCCATCAGCCTCCATTGGTCACACTCCTTATGTTTTCCTAGTCTAATTCCATTAGAGTTATCATGGGTAGTATGCCCACACATTTCATTTTTAGTGGTGGCATCTCTGTAAGAGCAATTGCTCCAGGGATAATATAATTTGGTTCTCTGTAACATCACTGTCCTTTCTTGCTCCAAATGAGGGATGTATGCCACAGAGGTCCATTCTTTAATGAAACATCTTCAGGCTAAAAGAGAGAGTTTTCTTCTCATCTGCCAATGAAAAAATCAAATGGACTTGAAATATTGTTGTTATCCTATTTTTATTCCTAAGGACTTATGGTCCGACCTTTTGTCCTTGACTCACAAGTAAGCTTCATCACGGAAGGTAAGACACAGGACTATTAGATACTTTCAAATTTCACATTCTGGCTACACATCCAGTCTAGCTGACAGAGCTTTTCTTAAACATGGAATTTTGGATTGAGTCCTAGAACTGCTTTGAATTATGTATGTGTCTCTTCTCACTATTCAGTGTGATAAGTACTCAAGGGTAAATAAAAGGATTCAGTAGTGTGTGATTATTTATTGCCTGTGTTGTCTTTGTAATTTTATTTAATCTTTTTTTCATTTTCAAAGGAGAACAGAGAACACCAATTTGCTACTATTTGCAATATGTATAATATTAAACTATAACATATAATGCAGGTAGGTTTGAATTATAATTGTGGTTCTCTTGGTGAGGGAAGTATCCACTCTTTAGGTACAGCTTGTTTTCATACCTCTGTCAACTATATTTTGGTATTATTTATATGCATTTATAAATAGCACATTCAATGCAAGCTAGCACTGACTTAGAGAACACCTGAAAACCATAATTACATGTCCCTCGGCACATAGAATCAGAATCATAGAATAGTTAGGGTTGGAAAGGACCTTAAGATCATCTAGTTCCAACCTCCCTGCCGTGGGCAGGGACACCTCACACTAAACTGTCTCACCCAAGGCTTCGTCCAACCTGGCTTTGAACACTGCCAGGGATGGAGCATTCACAACCTCCCTGGGGAACCCATTCCAGTGCCTCACCCCCCTAACAGGAAAGAATTTCCTCCTTATATCCAATCTAAACTTCCCCTGTTTAAGTTTTAACCTGTTTCCCCTTGTCCTGTCTCTACAGTCCCTAATGAAGAGTCCCTCCCCAGCATCCTTATAGGCCCCCCTTCAGATACTGGAAGGCTGCTATGAGGTCATTAGAGTATCTACTCCCCCTTTCTTAAACAAATCCTTCTTAAAACACTCATTTTGGAGGGTAACAAAGCTATGCAACAATCGAAGCAAAATACTCTTCCTTGATGAAAACAACTTCAACACAGAACTGAAATAGTGTATAACAAAAGATAAGAAGAATACTGCTAAACTAATTCTGGGTTCCCTCAAAATTTAAGACTTCTTTTACATCCTCTTGTCTCCTTCAAACTGACTGCTCCAGGCTGTGGTTTAATGTCTTCTTTTGGCTTCCTTGGTCTATGAGAAATTAGAGTATTCAGTAGCTCCTAGACCTGATCTGACTTTCAGCTACCCAAGTGCAAGAAAAACATGGAAAATTGCTAGCAATTCTCCATGGATGGCTGGACCCATAACCTGTGGATCGATAGTGAGTGTATAAAACAACAGAGGCAACCAGCTCTTTCTGCCCCGTTCTGAAATTGTTTAACAAGAGGGGTATACCAGCACATCTTCAGGGAACTCTGCAGAGCAATGACACTTTTTAATGCTGAGCTAGTGTTATGCAGCTGAAAAGATCCAGTATAACCCCCTGACTACACTTCCAGTTCATGACAAAAGACATACAGATGAACAGTTTGAATGGCTTTGGATAAGGATTTCTTCTTTTTTTTTTTTTAAATTGGGCTATATACAAGCATTTTGGTTTGCTGCCATGGCTGCTACCTCAGTTAAACTCCTGTTACCAGGGCTCACACAGATGCAAGTAAGGGGAGAAAAGAGTACAAAGTCTGTGACTGCTATGCCTCAGCTAATGTTATCAAATACTTCAGCAATCAATAATCATTTGCCTTGCCAGGGTCATGGACAACCACAAGGTTGTAACAGGGCAGTTCTCTATAGTGCCTCTCCTAAGAGCAATGCTTTTCCTAAGACAGAAGACCAAAAAAAGTAAGACTAAAGACCATAAGAGCAATTATAAAAATACTGGTCAGATCCAGGTTCTTGGGAAGGCAGCCTGTGCCATGGGTTGCGTAAGTATTTCACATTACACACTTACTAGGTAGAATGTGTAAAGATACATGGGCAGTAAGGGGGCAAAAACCTCCACCCACAGGTGAGAACCCTAACCATTAAGGTTAGCTCAGGGATTCATGCCTTTTCCCAGGTATCTGTAGCTTGGATCAGAATCAACAGGACAATTTGCAAGACTCCCTGATGGTGCCCTTACAGCTAAAGTGCTCTCTTAGTTGAGAAAAGATTAACTTTTGATATGGGACTAGTAGTAGATATGGGTACCGCCTGAGGAAGATTACAAGCACATTATAGATTAGGCACACCAAGGAGTTTAAGTACTCAAGCTTTTTTGGACCCACATGAGCTCTGCTTGGGGCTATCCAGGTGCCTCTGAAAAGTGATCTTGGGATTAAGAGCAAGACACATGAGAGCAGGTGGCTCATAACCCAACAGAAGGAGGCATTTTTGCTGAGCAGATGGGATTAGGCAGTGTAAATGCTTTGCAGTTTTCTGGCTAGAAGAAATCGTTACCTCATCTTGGAGCTGTTGGAGGTGACATGATGACCTTGCTAATGAAACAAGACAGTTTATCAGAATACAGTTTTACGTGTCTGAAACCACATTGGCCATAGCTGTTGTTCACTAGCTGGGGTTCATCCACAGAGAAACTACCTCAAGAGAAGCCTTTGCTGGTTGTTAAAGGTCACGTAGAACTACCCCAGGCAGAGTCATCTGCCTCCATCAGGCTGCTCCATTCAACTGCTTGACAGGCTGAAGCTAAAACAGTCCTACCTGAATGTTAAAAGGAAGTTGCCATTGCACTATGTGGGGACTTGATCTTCAAGGCTTGCTTTGGGGAGCTACCCAGTGGCAGAAGGAGAGGACCTCCTGGTCTGTGGATTCTGATGGGCTGAGATCCAAAGCTGTGTGCAAAGCATGGCTCTTCTCAGTCAAAACTGCAGCACTTCCGGGCTCCAACAGAAGAAAAACTGTAGGCTCCTAGCAGCAGAGCTGCCACTAGTTCAGGCAGCCACTCTTCAGATTGTCAGCAGTGGGTTTGTGACTGCAGGTTTGAGCAAAAATTTTCAGCCCCTACCTGAACTTCTTGAACAGTTTTTGTATTTTACTGTAGAAATATCAGGGTGAACTGGTGCAAGACCTTTCAGACAAGTTTCTGAAAGGAAAAGAAGAAGTAAAGAGGAAGGAAAAAGAAGAAAAGTCATGGGATATTTTTTTTCTGAAAGCATGAAATAAATTTTAGTGTTAACTGTAGCTCAGTTGTCAATGGAGTGCTTCAAAAGATATTATTCATGGTCTTGGTGTAAATGGATAGCTGTAGCAGCATAAATAGGAATTTACCACTTATGAACTGCACAGAGTGCTACAGTCTCATGTCAGCAGCCTGAAGATAGGGCCAAAATCTGTTCTCATCTACACCACCATAAAGTCAACACAGTTAAACAGCACAGTTAAACAGAGGGGGTTTGATCATAACTGTGCCTACATTCTGTCCCTTGTCAGCTAGCTGCATACAGTAGATTTGGTGGTAAAAGCAATCATTGCCTTATAATAACCTTAGAATTAAACAATAAAAAGGTTGCATACTGCTAAGTGGACTGCTGTCAATGTAAATACCCACCTTGCTAACTGTTGTTGACTTTGTTTTTTGCCAAGAAAAACAACTCTGGAACACACTTCAAATGATCTCCAGTGGTCCATGTGTCATGAGAGGAGTGAGAGGTCACTTCAGAGCAATGCACTGAAGAACCACAGATTTTAAAATTAAAAGTTCATTTTACATAACTCCCCAATAATAAGATCCTGCAGACACTACTTACCTTGCTGAAGATGAAAGAAACTTCTGAAAGCCACCTCATCAGATAGCAGCATTCTGTAGAGGGTTTGAAAGATTAAAACACCTTGACTGACTGAATCACTCCTGAGAGCTCTTCAGTGTGAGGAGCCATGAGATCATTTCTTAGTGACATTTGTGTAATAGCCAGTTGGAAAGGGTTTAAATGTCTCACTGTCTCCAGTAGCTGCAGACTTGAGACACAGAAATACCCACAAGGACATCATTAAAGACCACAGAATGGAGAAGGTCAGACGGAGGTCCACTTCACCCAGGAGTATGGCAAGAGGTCCGCTTTGTTGAGGAGTAAAGCAAGCATGAGTGGAGCTTCCTCGGGACTTCTGTAAGTCACCTGAGTAATGCAAGTGCCCCCAGAGGTGATCAACCTATACATGCTCGGCATTTTTCAAGAAACAACTGGTTTTCTGTCAGGTTCTTCAGGGCTTTGGGAGGCCTCTGTCCTGGCTTTAGCTGCTGGTGAATACCCTGTGTGAAGCACTTGCTGGTTGGAGTGCAAGGCCCAATCCTTGCACCCTTGTGATGTACCCGAGCCAGCTGGGCCGCAGCCAGTCTCACCTTTTGCTCAGCTTATAGAGAGATCAGTGCCAGCTCCCCTGCTCCTTCTCAGCCATGCTCTGCACAGACATCTGGCCTATATCACATGGAGCGCCTCAAAGGTAAATCAGAGCCTGCAAGAGGACTGTGGACAAACATTTGGTGCCTATGAAAGCTCTGTCACTCCCACTATGAGCTTGTATGGCTGCCTT